AGAGAGATCACATGAAAAGCGAGCGCACATATCCAGTTATTTATCGTCTATGTTTCTCGAGAATGTAAGTACATTTAGACAAGACCAGCCGCTTGCATAGCTGCAAGCATCTCCTTGCCGATCTGAGCCGGGCTGTCTGTGACAATGACACCGGCGCGCTGCAGAGCGGCTACTTTGTCAGAGGCAGCGCCCTTGCCGCCAGAAATAATGGCACCAGCGTGACCCATGCGACGTCCGGGAGGTGCAGTGCGCCCAGCAATGAAGCCCACAACCGGTTTGGGGTTCGCGCGGGTCTTGTTGTATTTCTCTAGGTACTCGGCCGCTTCCTCCTCCATCGAGCCACCGATTTCACCAATGACAACAATGCCTGCTCCGGTCAGCCGATGCTCCCATTTTAGATCAACGCCTACGCACCTTCCGTGTTGGGGTCGTCGAGGAAGACCTTGAGCACATCTACGTGCTGCGTTCCCGGGAAAGGATCTCCTCCGATTCCGACACATAACGATTGACCCAATCCAACATCGGTCGTTTGAGCGACAGCTTCGTAAGTGAGCGTCCCTGAGCGGGAAACGATACCTGGCAGGTAGTGAGTGGGGACGCTCGAGAGAAAAATCCGAGAACCATACCAATTTTGCCCGGCTTGTGGATATGACCGGGCTGGATTCCCATCTTGCAGCCCAGGGGGTTGATGACTGTTGCCACAAGACTGAGAATCGAAAAAGCAGCCAGAAGTCCTAAACGCACCACCAGGGCAATTGGGTCCGACAAGACGCGAACGAGATTGGCTTTTCAGCGCATTCATGACCTGATGCGAATCGTCAGCATGCTGCTTCCCAGCCAGGCGGTCACATACCCGGATTTCGTCGGCTTGGGGAATGCCCTCCGTGATACAGACAATGAGCCCAATTTCATTCTCAATAGCCTCAATGATAGCATCGGCAGCGGATGGGGGAGGGACGTAGAGAACGGTCGCGTCCGGCTGAGTCTCGCGAACAGCCTACATGAACGCGGAGAGAAAGACCATGTTCGAATGAGGATGGAAGATGTCACAGAGCGCCATTTCGCACCTCCTTGACACTACCAAAGACAGGAAGGCCTAGATGTGTCTGACCCGCTTTTTTGGGCGACACACCACCGACCATGTTGGTCCCATAGGCAAGCGCTTCCTTGACGTGGAACGTTCCCTGCACAATTTGTGGTTGGTGAGATGCCGAGCGGTGAAAAAACGTCTGTGTACGCACTGTCTTGCCGGTGAATCCCTGACAAAGAACCTTGGTATCCTTGTGGATAAGAAGATTATGGATGGTATCTGCGTAGCTTCGACGCGTAGCGGATTGGGAGAACGTCCGGCGTCCAACTGGAACAACATGGTCTCAGATGCATGTGAAGAGTACTGAATTACGCACTGCTGCACAGAGGATGGCCAGCGCGCATGTACATGTTGAGAGCCAAGTAACCTTCGGAAGCGTTGGCGAGACTTTGGAAGCGTTGACGAGACCTTGGTATATATGGCTGATGCGGAACGGAAGTGGGCCTGATATGGGCTTTATGTCCGATCAGACGGGTCAAAAACGGACCAAACTCGAAGTGGGCTGATCCCATCCTATGAGGGACACTTTGAGTACCTAAATGTCGTGACAGAGGTCATGTTCTTAGTACTTGTAGTCCTTACCTTACATATTTATGAGAATGTATTATACGTTTGCAGTCCATTCTCCATCTAACGATCGCGGCCCAAACCAGTCCCTGCCAGCCGCCGTTCTCTGGCTTTCCTCGAGGCTCGATTGAGGGATAAAAGGGCGTATTTGACCTTGCTGTACTCCTTGTCATTGATTGCGCTTGGCTTGGGTTAAGCACCGCCAATAACCGAAGACATCACAGACGAACCTGGTGACCTCCGACAAGAAGTTCGCCCTCGCCTCTTGCGGTGCAGCAGCTGCCGGTAGCTGCTGCAACACAAGGGGTAGCCAAGAAAGCACCTGCGAGCTCCATAGCTGCGACATTGTGCGCACAATTGAGACCACGAGCGAGAGAGAATCCTCAGGGAAGTCGGTCACTAGGCCTTGGAGGAGCACGGCAAGAAGTTGCAGGCCTTCTTTCTGGACACTGTCTTGGATAACGCCGCCGTAAGTCCGCAGTTTGGGCGTCGTCGGCGATACCAGACAGTCGTGGTTGAAGATATGCACAAAAAGTTCCAGAGAAATGAAGACGATGTCTGTGTAAACAACAGTCAACGCCCCCATCGCTATTCGGAAAGCGTGCGGAAAGGCAGAGGACTGGAAATATATGTCGGGGGTGGTTGAGGCCAGAGCGTCCAGCATCCTCAAGTAATCTTCGACCACTGAACCCAGATCGTCAGAGATGCGGGGGAGGGATGGTTTAGGAAATCCGCACCATCGGGTACTTCTTCTGGCCTCCTAGACTGTAAGATCGTGCCCACGCAATTGGTCGAGCGCTCGTAGATTTCCTGGAAGGTGCCTAGAAGATCGCTGTCGACGCTCTCTCCGTAGTTCTGGACCACTTTGCTTGCAATCCACAGATAGCTGGGGTAACTCGTGGCCTCAAAAGCGAAAGACATTCTCGGGACCACCGAGGTCAGAATCGGACGTGCTAGCTCCCCAAACAATCCGATACCGTGTCGCAGAACGCGCGTAACACGATCAGCGATCTCATAGTCCGACCCGTATTTCACTAAGAAAGCATCCAAAACCGTCCAGGCCTCTTCACACGTGCTCTGGCAGGCAACCGGGAGCTGTTCCCCGAAGCCCTTCACGGTTCCGAGCATCACTTCGAGGTTTTCTAGACTGTCTGGGGCTGATAAGAGCCATTACAGCATTTGAGGCGGTGACCCATACCAGCAATTGCCACCAGCTCGTCCTTGGAAAGCTGTGTCGATTTTGCAGACGCTGTGTGCACTTGTGCAAGGATGTCGACAGAGAATGTGCTGAGAGATTGGGTCGCTCGCTCGATGGGCATGGCAGAAATCACATGCCCGATAGCTTCGTATATCTGCTGACGGTCATCCTGCAGAAGTTTCGAGCCAGTGGAACTGAGGAAAGAATGCAATTGAGGCAGGAAATCCACCAGATGCTGTGTAAGATTAGGCGACAGTGTTGTGATCGAGCCAAGTGGGACTCGCCTTCTTGCAGTCTTGACAGATGTATTTTAGTGCTTGACCAGCAGCACCACACACATCGGAGTCCGGATTCTCAAAGCCGGCGGAGATGTATTGCAGTAGATGCTGGATGTATTGCGGATGCAGATTAATCCAGTCCGAATACCTTGAAATGATGAGCAGTGCGCAATAGCGGACCCGAGGATGATTCGGTAGGGAGGGGATCAGGTCCATGATTTTGGGGATGGTGACATCGTCGGTGAGGTCGAGACGAGCTCCCATCGAGCGCATGGCAAACAACGGTGCTTCGATTTCCTGCCATGACTGGGTGCCTTGTGCAAGAGCGGTTGTGATGATCTGGTACGCTGTCTCAAGACAGCTCTGCGTGCCCAAAACAAAACAGCAATCCTTGACTGTGTCTCCCATCACGTGTCTGAAAGCGCGGAAATCATCCGCTTCCTGCCCCACAAGCGGAGTCGCATCCGGAGGGAAATAGAGATGTTTAATCATCACAGCGAGGAGAGCCCGGTAAGCATCCAAAAATACGGGTGGGACGGAAGATCGCCGTGAGCCGATGTATTGAGCCATCCGATCCCAGAAGGGGAAGGTAATAGGAACGATGTCCAGATCTGGATATGCAGAGCATTCTCCAATGGCTTCCACTATGGGGAAAAAGGTCTCCGGATGTTGAATCAGCAGCATCCGGTATGTTTCCCCAGCCTCGCTGAAGATGCGAGCATATCCCCGTATCTTGTCTTCATCCCCCGATTGAGCAGTTAGCTGGGGCTTCAACGAAATGAGCTGAGGTACGATTAGCTGTATCGCGGCCGTGTTCTCTTCTAGCTCTTGGGTCTCGTGAATAAGCTCGCATATGACGTCGACAGCGGAGTCGAACAGATTGTCGGAGGCCAGAGCTTGAAACGCATTTTCGAAGAGCGGTGTTTCGACCAAATCCATTGCCCGCACCTCGCCAGCAATCAGCCAGCTTCGAAGACACTCGAAAACTTGCGATTGTACGGCAGCTGTGACGCCTGAAAAAGGTTCGTTACAGTGTTACGCCTCGAGCCAGAGAGACGGGATGTACCAGGCGCCTGCAGATACATACACAGCAGCTCCAGCACTTGCTTGGAGTTCCCGCTCAACAATTGCGCAGCTCTCTCCTTGTGTTCCTCATCCTGGCAGTGGCTGAGCTGATGATCACGTCCTCTATGTCAAGGTTCTTACAGTGATTGGAATTTTGTGGTTGCGCATCTCTTCGGGCAAGACACTGAGGAATTGAAGTAGGATCGCAACCGTTGCAGGGTTGCGTCCAAACAATCCGATCATGTGTTCGACGGGATTGGTCCAGGAGGGGAATTGCATCGCAAGGCCAGAGATCGCTAGACATAGTTGAACTATGATCGCCCGAGAACCTTGGTGATATTGTTCCAGCGCGTTGACGAGTGTATCACGGAAGCTGGATAGATTGGCTGAGTCGACTTGATGGAGATCATAAGTGACCTATCCGAATACATCTTTCAAGTGCCGGAGAACCACAAATGAATCAACGCACTTTGGCCCGAAATGTCTGTGCGGCAAACAACTTCGCTGCAGGAGGCGTGTCCTGCGATAGGAGCAGAACGTTACAGGTCGCCCACGCTTCCGGCTAGGATAAGACGTGTTGATCACGGTCAGAGGTGGTGTCGACAGTGGCGAACGCGAAAGAACATTTACAGAGTGCTGAAAGTCTTGCAACCATGCGCTTGCGCGATCAAGTGACGCCTTGTCGGGGGCGCGACTGAACACGTCGATGGCAGAGAGTACCGCCTGGATGTCCGCCATGGAAGGCACAAATGAAGTTTAGATGTTGATTACCTTTGTTGATCCTCAAGATGATCGAACAAGATGAGATGGTATACTCCGAGGATGCATTCTCCATGGGAAACTAGGTTATGGTATGGAACAATAGATCCGTAAAGAACGTAGGTATTCGTAGGGAATCAAGATGGTAAAGAATGAGTATGGAGGTGTACGAGAACAAGCCGGCGAGAGAAAAAGTGTCAATAATAAAAATGCCATATACATACAGCCGTGTAGCCACATGTGCGCAAATTCAAGAGAACGATCAAGTGCGGAGGAAACCCTTTCGTCTGCCGGTCTGGAACGAGATATGTCAGACTGAAGGGGCCACGAGACGTATGAGCTGTACTCACCGCGTTCTTCTCGGGTGTGATCGGTCGCCCACTTTCGATTTTCCTCTTCTTCTCCTCGAGATCGAGCCGCTGCTTGTCCAAAGCATCCTTCATATCCTTGTGCCGGGCGTACAGCTCCTCCTCAGACTGCTTGAGCTTTGCCTCTTTTTCTTGCACCTTCTGCTGGAACACCATCTTCATCTCAGCCTCCATCTTAGCAAGCTTGGCCTCGTGCAGGACGCGCTCTTCCTGCATTCTGGCTGCAGGGCTACAAATGCACTTAGTGTCGCATTGGGAAAAAAAAAGTGCGTTAGGGACATACTTGATCTCCTTGAATACGGTTGAATCCTGCGCGACACCCATGCCCAGCAGTTTATCCGTTCTCCAGTTCTCGTAAAGAACATCGTTGGTGTATTCGCGCAATTCCTCCATGTAGGTGCGCACAAGCATCTGTCTCAATTTGACAAAATCGCAGTGATCTTCGTTGTCGACTTCGACAACTCCCCATGGATAGGCACGCCCACGAACTTCTCGCCCGTCGGGCGTGACGACTGCCTTGTCGGAGCCCACCACGGCAAACGGTATTTTGCTCGCGATTTCTTCCGCCTCGGCGATGGTCTCTTCGTCCTCGTTCTCGTACGTAGGAGCTTCAAAGATATGAATGTTGTGGTGCGCAATGTCTGAGAGGATCTTTGAGAAATTGCGTCAGATCTCGGCGGACAGTGATATAGGTTGAAGATCGTACACGAGCTTTGAACTCCGTAACCTCTTCCTCCGTCATTGTATCCGACTTAGCGATGACAGGTATCAGATTGACCTTGGTGTGCAGTCGACGCATGAATTCGATGTCAATCTCTTTGAGACTACAGATGTGTCAGAGGGTAATTCGCCGATGCGCTGTCAGAACATACGAGTGGCCAGTCGCCTCGATAAAGTACAAGCATGCATGCACACGGTTGTCGACGACTTTCGTACGATTGACGCGGTTCTCCTGCTCGAGATAAGAGTCGAAACGAGATTCGATGTTCTCAACAATGGGCTTCCAACTGAAATCGTGTTAACAGGAACAATACATAGAAGAAAACACACCTCTCGTCGTTGTTGACAAAGTCTCCGAAACCGGGGGTATCAACGACAGTAAGATGTAAGCGCACACCGTTCTCCTCAATGTCTGATGGGATGATTAAGTGCAAGGAGGTTTTGGGTCACAGCTTCTTACCTGCACCAATGCTCTCAATAGCGACGGTTTTAGGACGTTCAGCGGAGGGAGGGAGCGGCTCTTTTGGAGGGTAGAGGGTGGTATTGAAGAGGGTGTTGATGAGAGTGGACTTTCCCAGCCCCGACTCACCTGAGCAGAAAAAGGAGATAAGTGGGGGATTCTAAAATGGTGCGATGAGGTGAACGCACCAACAACCATAGCTGTAAACTGGAAGCCCTTCCTGACGCTCTTTCTGTGGACCTGGTTCGGGAGGTTGGCAAACCCAACGTAGCCCATCAATTTTTTGCGGATGACGGCAGTCGTTGTGCCATTGGGAACAAGGGATGGGCTGGAGGCATTGGCCGCACCATTCGACGCGTAGTCGCCGTTGCGAGACGAGGCATAGGAGTCTGACATCTATGCGGAATGGGAATAAGGAGAGAGAGGCGGAAGGGCTGAGGGAGACAAACTCTCGTAGCTGAACGACGAGGAATGAGAAGAACGTTGTCCGATGTTTGGCGTTGTTTCGACCTTGCTTTCTTTGGTCCAACTTTGGCCTCTCATCCAGCTTTGACTCTTGAGCTTTAAACTCACGCCCCTCCGCGCTACTCTCTTCATTTCCGTATACAGGCATATGTGGCCTGCGGCAACGACGGGATTACGAAGAGACGGGCCGAGTCCACGAGTTGTAATTCATACATCAAGGACCACAGTGCCTAATCTACATTTGCTTGGAACTTGAAGACTGTGGACGAACATTGAACACCTGAGAGACGGCAGAAACGAAGGAGACCCACTATCTGGTCTGGCGTAATGGCCCACGACATCCAGATCAAATTTGCCGCGAATGATATCGTCCATGTCCAACTCGGCCGTTAACACTCCTTCTTGACCGCGCAAAGGCCCAGCTAGAATCTTCCCCAAGGGACTGACGATCATGCTTCCTCCCGCAATCATCACATCCTCTGGGTCGTTTCGCGACGCATCAGGCTGATCAGGATTCAAGGCGTGGTCCGCCGGATAGTGCTGCACTTGAGCAAATTGACATGCGGACAAGACAAAACATCTGCCCTCGAGAGCGATATGGGACATGGAATGTTGCCAATCGTCGCGTGCATCGACTGTGGGGGCACAGTAGATCTGAGTCCCATGGCTGAAATAGTGATACCTCACTGCAGCACTCGATTACCACCGGAATCGTCCAGAGATATTGAGCGACGCACAAAGAGGCATGTAATTTTCCCTGCCTCGTTATAAGCTTCGCATGGGGATACCTTGGAACGCTCGCACCAACAAATAGCCGCAGAGATCTTCACGGGAATCGGGGGCGCGCCTGGCGATGAGGATGGTGAGAAGTCGCTTTCGTGCACCTGCAAGGTAGTTCCATCCCCTTGACCCCAAATGAGACGCTATGAGCCTTGTTCAAGATCATTCTGAAGAGGAAATGATGAGACCGAAACCTCGGATGCGGTTGGTTGAAGCTTGCGGTGTTTTCCTACCAAGCCCAGGGAAGGAGAAACAAATATCGCCGTGCAATAAAGTGTGCCCCCGTTCGGTTCCTTTTCGATGACTCCGATTACCAGGAACACCCCGGTTTCTTTTGCCAGTGCTTCGATGCGAGCAGTGGTAGCGGATGGGACTTCAATTGCTGCTTTGTGGTAGCGAAGATATTCTTCTCGGCCCTGGGGGGATCGAGTGCCTACAACAGCACCGAAAGTGGAGAACTTGGGATAGCCGCCGATACTGTTGACAGGTCGGGACCGGATTATCCAGAGATTGGTTCGCACTCACAAAGCTTCGGGAAACACGGCCAGTTGTGATCCATCCCGATTCCGTGCCAGACGAGTAAGTTGTTCGAGTTTCACCAGAGTGTGTTCTAGAGAGTATGCCTGAGTGCAGGTCTGCACAACCGAGGCGCGTATGATTCGAGCGGGAGACTCGGTCATCGAAGGTCAAGGTGCATAGGATTGGCAAATGTCGGCTGACTAAATCGAGGACCTTCTTTTTTTTTTTTGTGGGACGTTTTATTAAAGCCTAAAGTACTTAACATAGTTATTTACTTGAAGCCCGTCAGGTTTGAGGCCAAGGACTTAGAACCTAGCCAGACGATGAGGATATACCACGCGAGGAAATGCGCTTAGTAGCCGGTAGTTACCCGCACGATGCACCCGGTGATCCGTAGTGCCATGTGTGGGGATTCGGTTGCTTTGCACTTTTCTCTTCAGGTGAGTCGGCCATTCCGACTCCGTTTTTCTTCTAACCGATACCCACTAAAACCCCGCCTCCCTTGGTCCAGTTCTCTGGGAGATGTTCCTCATCCTTGAGTGTCTGGGTCCATGTCTTCCTGACCAGGGAAGATTTTATTGATTTTGCACCGTATTTTGCATTGTTTGTCAATTTGCAATCTATGAGTATTCTCGTGTTAAGTGTTCGCGTCCACCTGTTTTTGATTTCGACTTCTGATGCTTCGTCTTTCGCTTGTATGACTCGTTCACATCTTAGTCTCCATATGAGGTGCGCTGATTCTGATATTAGGATTCTGAAGAACCTCGATAGCCCGGCGTCTTTCATGTCTATTGCTCCGCATGCTAGGATTCCTCCCATGTCGATATCAAGATCTGTTCCGGTTTTCTTTTGCCATAGGTCGTTCGCCATCTGCCATACTTGGCTCTGTCCCGCTGCGTTGCATCTTAGCAGTATGTGTTCCATTGTCTCGATTGTGTCCTCTCCGCAGTGTTTGCATATTGCTTTCTCTTCGTGTTTTGGGATTCTGGTCCAGTGGTTGCCCACTTTGTATCCTTCGTGCAGGAGCATCCAGAGGAAGTATCTGACACTTCTGGAGAAGTCTTTGTGTCTTGTCGCCATCCAGATCCTCTCTTTCGACGCTCGTCCTTTTGACTCTGGGGTCCGGTTAATCGTCGCTTCCTGTGCTCGTTCCATGTTGGCCCTCGTTGCTTTGCGGTCTAGAGCATCTTGGTATTTATCGTTCTGCATTGTGAGTTTGCGTATTATCTTGTACGCGACTGACTGTGTCATAGCTTGGAGTTTTGCTCCCGGGAGGGTTAGCCCGTTGTCAATTACTGTGTCTATGATGTCAGGTTTATCTTTTCTACGTCCTTCGTCTGCCAGTCTGTCGGCTTCTTCGTTCCCATGTACCCCGGAGTGTCCCTTAACCCATGTGAGTTTTGTTCGTGCTCTGCGGTTACGGAGCTTAGTTATCGTCAGTTTCATTGCTTCACCGTTGGCTGCTAGGAGGAATCCCTGATCTTCGTTCTTTTTTAGGTCTTTGGTCAGCCCGTTTATGGTGTACATCGAGTCTGATTGGATATGGATTGGTGCACCCGGTGGGCATATCTCTATTGTTTCTTTTACGGCTAGTAGCTCAGCGACTTGGTTAGAGGGGTTTAGTTCGTTCGGGATCTTTATTGCGGTGTTCAGCGTGTTGTCTCCTTCGAAGTATATGCCCGAGCCGGCTTCTGCTCCCTCGTTACCGTTGTTTGTGGCCGATCCGTCTGTGAATACATTCCATTCGACTGTTTCTTCTTCGGGGTTCTCTGCTGGTCTGCGATCTGGGGCTATCTTGCTTGTGTTCTGTTCTCCTTCGGTGAAGATGCGGAAGAGATCTCCAATTGTTCCGGTGGTCGTCAATCTCTGGTCTATGTCTCTTGATACGGCTTCGTTTTCTTCATTTGTTTTGGGGGCCATCTGTGACTCATAGTCTTCTGGCTGGCTTTTCCGTGGGTCCCATTTCGGGTCTAGGGAGTCTAGCATTGCTTTCGCCTTTTCGTAACATAGTCTTGGGTTGTTGCATTTCGTGATTGTTCTTGTTAGCGTGCATGCATTGCACCGGCAGTTTTTGGTCGCTCTGTGTCTTGCTGTTCTTGTCTTCTGGGCCAGCGCCACCGCGTCTCCTACCGTTTTCATGCGGTGCTTTTCTTTAAGGCATTTTATGACGTGAACGTTTGTCGTCCACATCCTGTTTTCTGCGTTTGACTTTTTGTGGTACCATATTATCATTTTTTCTTGGATCTCACGGGAGACCGCGATGGCCTCTATTCCGACTCCGTACTTTTTGCCTACGGTCGTCATTTTTGCCAGGTCCGTTCCGATCTCTTTCTGCGAGACTTTGTGTTTCCAGTTTTGTATGTAGGCGTTCAAGCGGACCGAGGGTTCCACTTCGTTCCCAGTCGAGGAGATCTTGTCTGCTAGTAGTTCGTCTGCTGTAAAGCACCAGAGCGGTCTGGTTTCGTCGGAGCTCAGGTAAGTTTTCAGCCACATAACGGCGATAGCTTCATTGCGTGCTACTATGTCGAATAGGTTGCGTCCCCCTTCCTCGGCTGGTGCATATACGGTTTGTTGATTGATGGTGACTCTTTCCTTTTCTGCCCATAGGAATTTTCTAACTCTTTTTTCAAGGCGTTCTTCTATTTCCCTTGGCATTCCTTGGACTGTTGCCAGATATTGCGTCATCCCGCCGATGACCATGAGTATTATCAGTCTTCTTCCTTCTATCGATGGGTTCCCTTGTTCCCAGTACTCAAGTGCTTTATCGATTTTTTCTAGGGTTCTTGCCCATGTGCCCACTTGTTCAACTTTGTTTCCGATCCATGCTCCTAAACATCTTACTGGCTCCCCTTCTCTAGCTATCTTCACGTGTTCTGGGATTAAGGTGCCGTCTATTCCATTAATAAACATGTTTGCTCTAACTTTGTCTCTGTAGTCGATGGTTCCAATTGGGATCATTTCCGTTTTATTTATGTTGAATCTGGCTCCGGATGCTTTGCACCATTTGTCAATTATGTCTAGGAGCTCGCCGAAGTCGTCTTCTGCATCGAGGTATACAGCAGTATCGTCTGCAAACAGTGTAGCTATTAGCCTTTCCACTTTACCCTTTATTTTGATTCCTTTTAGTTTAGATTGGCGTAGTGATTCAGCTAGTGGTTCTATTGCCAGGTTAAATAGTAGGCATGAGAGTGGGTCCCCTTGGCGTACCCCTCGGGTAACTTTGAATGGGCTTGAGCTTTTTTCTCCGTTTAGGATAACATATGTATATGCATCGTTGTATAATGCTTGTATCGTGTTTATAAATTCATTTGGTATTCCGTAGCTTTTAAGAGCTTCCCATAGGTAATCGTGTTCGATTTTATCATACGCCTTCTCTTGATCGAGTGCGATGATTACACCGTTTCTCTCGGTTGCTTCAGCTAGTTCGATTACTCTTTTCATTAACCATATTTGATCTTTGATTTGTCTACCTTTGACAAATCCTGCCTGATTTGGGTGGATTAGGTTTGGTGCGACTTCGGCAAGTTTGATCGATAGGGCCTTTGTGAATATCTTGTAGTCGGTGTTTAGTAGTGATATCGGTCTGTAGTTGGCTATGTCCGATTTGTCATTTTTTTTGTATAGGGGGCACATCCAGCTTTCTGCAAATTTTGTGCCTGTTACCATTCCGTGTGTTTCGATGTCGTTATATACCATGAGCATTGTGTTCAGTATATTAAATGCGGGTTTTTCTGTCTTAGTCGCAGTTATGTATCTGTCGTTTATAGTTTTCCATAGCTCATATGGGATCCCATCGAGGCCGGGGGCTTTAAAGTTTGCTGATGACTTTATTGCTGTTTGTACATCATCTATTGTTAATTTTGCTCTTAGCCTTTCGTTTTGTTCCTCGCTCGTCTTTGTTTGTGTTTTGCCGAGTATCTCGGTCGTGATTATCTCTCTTTCGTCTATTTCCGTTTCTCTGCGGTCTGCTTGGAGCAGGTCATGGTAGTCTCTTGTCATGTCTGCCATCTTGCTTGATCTTGTTTCGTACTCTGTTTGTCCGGGCCCGTCGGTAAATTGGGTTGCGGGTTTTTTCAGTCTGTGGATCAAATCGCGTGGTTTGCTTGGCTTATTGATTCTTGTCCAGTACCTTCCTATTATCTCGCCATGTAGGCGGTTCTGGATCTTCGCGCTTAGTCTGTTCGAGTTGTATCTCTTTTTCTGTAGCTTGGTTATTTGTTCGATGATGACTACTGAGTTGAGGTGTTTTTCCTCTTCTGACATTGATTCGTCTGTTGATACATTTTCTAGCTTTAACTCAAGGTCGGCAACCTCTTGGATGATCTTCGGTATGATTATTTTGGCTCTTTCTCTTGCTTTCCCGCCGATCTTTGATTTAAAGGTGGCCCACATCTTCTGTGCGTTCCGGTCTCCCGTTCGTCTATCTTCGGTGATCTCTTTCATTTCTAGCTCTAGCTTCATTCCTTCCTCGTGGATGTACTCTGCGAGTATCTTGTCTTTAATGACGTGTGCAGGCCATACCCATCGGCCCCGCCCTACTGTTGGTGCTTTCTCTGTTGTAATCTTGGTCCATATTAGGTCGTGGTCTGTTTCTATCCCTGTGCGTTTCATTCCCCAGTCAAATGTGTTACTGAATGTTTCTCTTTTGATGTAGATCCGGTCGATGCGTGAGAGGGATCCTCCTAGGGCTATAGGTTGTCGGAATGTGTATTGTCTAGATTCTGGGTATGTTTCTCTCCATCCGTCTATGAGTTGAAGGTTCATTTTAAGTTCGTCTAGGGCGTTGACCGCGTTGTTGTTATCTGTGTGTGCTGGGAGGCGGTCGATCGCTCCTTCGACTATGTTCATGTCTCCAATCATGGTATCTGGTTTGCGAATGCGCGGGTTTTCTACAAAGTACTCATTTACATCTTCCCAGAATTTCCGGTTTGCTGTGGGGTCGTTGGGAGCGTATACGCCTAGTATGGATAGGGGGCTTCCGTCCGCATGTTTCGTCTCAAGTAACAATGCTCTTCCTTGGATCACTTCTCTTGCTTGGGCGTCTTCTGTCGCTATCAGGTTCTTGTTCATCACGATGGCTAGTCCGGCGGAGTTCGCCTCTCCGGGGACTTCTGTGAATTCTAAGCGCATCTTTCGGCTGAATATTTTGTCTATCTCGCTTTTTCGTTCTGTGTTCATGTGTGCTTCGCTTATCACTAGGATTGCCGTCTTCTCCTCTCGCATTATCTGCCATATTCCAGTCCACTTATTGCTTGGGTGGTGGATGTTCACGTTTCCGTGTCCGCGGATGTTAAGGCCGGCTATCTTCAATGCCGCCTTCATGGTTTTCTTCCCATTATTTCGGTGTATTGCATACGTTTGTGGTCTGGGGTTCTCTGGGGTCACTCTATTTGTGTCCTGGTGGTTATCCTGCCTTGTTCGGCTGCTCATATCTGTATTCTCTGGTGCTTCGACCTCCTCATGGTCGCCACGCGTCCTGTCGACGTTTCCGCCAGTGGTAGCGGTCCCGGATTGGTCTCGGGGGGGTTCTCCTGTTGAGCCCGACGCGTTCTATGTGCGTCAACACCTCTGTTGGTGTCCCCTGGTTCGCCTGTTGCGTCCAGAGTTGCGCCCCGTGTTCCATCCTCGGCTTCTCGTTGGGCTTCATCTCCGTTGGGGGGGAGGTCGCCGTCCCGATTAGCCTCCGGGCGACGGTTTGCCAGTTCCCCTCCAACGCAGTTTCCCTCATTGGGCGTGTCCAGGCCGGTGGCGGAGCCGTGGGTCCCTCGAGATTCCGCGGTCATCAAAGCCGGTTCAGCCGTGTTTTTATCCAGTGTGGGTTGCTCGTCCTGAGCATGTGAAAAGTTGATTGATCCCTCAGTAGCGAATAGGAGATACGACCTGGACATCGCCAATGCCCGGGTCGTGATGTCTCAAGACGGAGTTGCGACGTGGAGCGCCCGTGCATATGCTGGGTATGCATGGGTTTGCCTCGTGCATGTCGGGACTGCCGACCGGCGGACTCCGACCTGAATAGGTCCCGCCGTTGCGGCGTATCTCGGTTGTGACTGGGGTCACCACCGAGATACGCGTTCCCTTCCCCGTTTCCCGTTCTGCGATCTTGCGATAAATCGAGGACCTTCGGAATATCGTACTTCCTCTACTTACTTATAGCGATGATGCGTGTAGATCCCTGCAGAGCACAGTGCAGCAAAAACACATGCATTGCGGGGCATTATTTAGATTATGAGGGCACAGCGTATTTCCTCCGTCGTTCAGAAATCCATTCAAGGGGAAAGTCGAGTTTAGAGGGTCGAGCATAGACACGGCCTCGCAAATGTTCGCCTTTCTTTGCCTTTCGTGCTTTGGAGTACACGTGTCGAAGGTCGACAGGAATGTCGCTCAGGTCAAGTTGGGCGTTCTGGAACATAAGTCAGAAGGAGACGGGAAGTGTTTGGGAACATACATTTGCTTGAGCCACCAGTCTATCCATGGTATCACTTGCCCACTTCAGGTTCATTGCAGGCTCAGGAAAATCTTCACAGGAAATCTTGATGTATCCATTCCCCCACTCGTCGAGACCACTGATACCGCCATCTGACGGTGGATGCGGTGTCCACCGAGGTCCAGCCAAAACTTTGATTCGATGGAGCGCGTCTTCGCCCTTCAGCGGCAATGAGTCGACAGACGCCACAACAACGCGTTTGGCTGTTATAGGATGCTCCTCGCCTGCGTAGTCGATCGAACGGACGACAAGAGGTGTGTTTGGAGCGGGGGCAAATGTTTTTCGATATGCTAGTGGAAAGCCGGTTGGATAGCAAGTCCTTAGAAGATAAAAGAGCGTACCGACGAGTTTGGGCATCTCGTGCTCTATTAGACGAAGATAATACAATACCTTTCGCTGCTCCTCCAGCATTAAATGGCCAGCAGCCACTGTGTCATCATCTTGAAATTCTGCTTCTAGCATGGAGCCATATATCGCCTCGGCCTCTCCTTCTGATGTGGCCTGTGCTACTCCCCGAGATGCGGAGAGAATAGGGCGCCGGGGCAGCCTTTGAGCTCTCAAACAATTTCGCAGAGCCAACATGGGGGGTGAAGAAGTGATGTGGGCTGGGGTTAGGGTCACAATCAAAGTATGTCTTCAAGAAATATCTGTAGTGATCCAGCATGCAGTCCTGCTGCCCATGGATTTATACTTCCGCTTCAAGTGCAGACACTCGGCACCCTCCTGCTCTAGCTAAATACTACAAACGCATACTTCGACTCTGTGATTTGTGGAGGGCGGCGGATGGGAGCAAATATTACGCCCGAGGTTTTCGGCGGCCGGCGACGATCTCCTAGTGAGGTACTAGCAACATGAGCCAATCTTGGAAATGAGGACTAGCATTCGAGGACCACATCATTCAGATATTCGCTAGAATATTCCAAAATTGAACCCGCCATCATTCAAGTGTCCAGTTCCAGTGCAGCCTAGTTACAGCAGGCATATGCGTTTTGAAATTGACCCCGCGGGTCTCTATGTGCTGTGGCACCTGCATTTTGACTTCACCGAGTGGACGCGATCGAAAAGTCGACGCGGAACAGTGCTTGACGTACACGAAGTGTAGTTAGAGGGTCTGGGCCCCAGTACGTATCCCGCCTGTCGTTTGGCCTCCCTCGTTCCTCTTTTCCTCCCACATCGCGAGACCTCACGCGTCCGATCCTGGGACGTCGCGAACTCGCTTAGTGTTCCATCGGTGAACCGCAACCAATTGAGTCCATCTTCCATCACGGGCTTGTGATTCCTTCACATATAGACCCATCCAACATCTACCAGCTCCACCGGTGGGTTGCCCACGACCTTCACTATGCGGCCACATCTCGCCGCAGTCGCTACGATTTTCGCCGCCGTCGCGTGCGCCTTGGGTCAATCAAGTTCTGCTCCCCCCACTTCGATCCCCAGCGTCTCGCTGTCGCTTTCCACCAGTTCCTTCACAAGCGTCGCACGCTCTGGGGCTTCTTCTGCGATTAGTGTCCTTCCGACGGTCGTCAATGTCAGTGTAACGATTGCACCCACGCCATCCCCTAGCCTTTCTCCTTCTTCTACTCTATCGAGCTCCGCCTCCGCCTCCGCCTCTGCCTCAGCGTCCGCAGTGCCAGACACGATACTCGCAACCACCCTCGATCCCGCCTTTGGAGTTCTGGGAGCTGTGCTGATTCTCACCGGTATTCCCTCCGCATTCTTCGGGCACAAGAACAGGTGAGTTGTGCACGCCGAGCGGCACGCCGGAGTAATAATCGACCCCAGGTGGACTTCATTCTTCCTGATCGGATTCTACACCCTTTCCCTCGTCTGTTTCGTTCTGATTCTCAAGGTAACGCGGACAGCTCTTATTGAACGTGATCCAAAACTCATCGGCCCTAGTTTGGAATTCTAGATGCCGTCAATCCTCCGAATAAGACGTTGCGGGGACTGTTTGTGCTTGCGTCAGCAGTAGCGGGTATCGGCGGAGGCGGAGTTGCGATATTCTTCTGGAAGGCTGCACGCTACTGTGTGTTTTCGTTCTGTCATTCGGATGCACTAACTGATGTGAACGTGTAGTCATTGGGGGATGGGGTGGATTTGCTCTGGCTCTTTGGATCCAAGGCTTCCGCGACGGTGGACTTATTCGGACCATTGGTTATCGTTGGCTGTTTTATATTGGTACGTTTGCGTTATGGCCACTTTTTTCTCTGTCCATGGTTAACACATGTTCCAGGGTGTGGAGTGGTCGGTTTCATCCTTTGCACGATTCCGAAGGTAAAGGTCACGTCCAGAAGCTGACTAGCTTCAAGCTCACATGGTGATAGATCCATTACCACATCCTGCTTATCTCGACAGCGATGGTCGGTTCCTCGGCATTCATTTTGGGAGTCGACTGTTTCACAACTGCTGGTCTCAAGGAGGTAAGGCAATCAGTGTTCATAACATAAGTTGAAATCAGCACTCATCCCGAGCAGCTCTACATCTGGAATCTCGGTTTCCGATCCCTATTTCCCAAATTCGTGAACCACGGCATCCAGTTCCCCGTGTCCCAGACGATGCAAATCGAATTGGGTCTGATTGGCGCCGTCACTCTCATGGGCATCGCTGTGCAGTTGCGCGTTTTGACTGTTCTCCAGCGCAAGCTTCGGGAAATAGCCGAAGAACAGAAGAAACAAGATGAAGCTGCTGAGAATATGGCTGCAGGCAGATTTGCGTCGATGGAACGCGAGCGTGACCAGTGGGAGAAGGATCATCCCACGATGAACAAGCATGGACGACAAGAAAGTGGTTATTCGAACACACCGCTGATGAAGGATCATGATGGCTCGTATTCGCCAGTAGCAGCAGAGCATCGGTCTTCGACATTCACGCTCGTAGCTGAAGGGCGTCCCCGTCATGCATCAGCTGCCTCCGAGTTGATGTTTGCGCCGACGCCAGAGGACGAGCTTGGACGTGCCACGCGCAACCTTCAAAGCCCCGGTGCTTTGCCCGCCCTTGATCTTGGGCAGGGCATCAAAGAAGACGTTCCGCGTAGCTTCATCGCGAAGGACGAGACGTCTCGCAAAGGGCCCACGGAATTCGGTGATCTCAAGCGCAAAGAAGAGCTCGTGGCTGAAATTGAGAACATCCGCCGATCCATCGACGCTCTCAAGGCGGAAACACCGGCCCCATCCTCTTCTGAAGAGTCGCGGCGGCCGTCGCTGACCTCGCGACGGACCCTGAGCATCGACGCCTCAGCGCTCTTGCCAGGCCCCAGTCACAGCCGCCCTCCGCGTGAAAACGATCCGAGAGCACGCGTGCATTCGATGGAACTGTCGACGTTGACTCAGTCACATGTCGGAGAAAGCATTGGACGCCCCACAAGTGTGCCCTTGAACGACGACTGGGACATGTACGTACAAGAGCGCCGACTGTTGCAGCCGCCGTCCGGTGTGACGCCCCCCATCAACGTCAGTCACGGTCCTCGGATGCCCGTTTCTCCTGCTGTGGCAGACGCTTTGAACCAACGGAAACGCCGTGAGAGTCTACTAGGGATGGGAGAAGTCTCGGGTCCCAACACCGGATCGGATTCGACCGAAGATTTGCCTCTCGCGCGACTGAGTAGCCAGCCGCACCGCAGCTCCTCTGGCAACAACTCTCCGGTCCCGGTCAACGTATTGCCCCCTCGCAAGGCAATTGTCGCCCCGACGCCTCAACGGCCTGCCACGTCTCGGACCCGAACGTTCGAAGAACTCGCTGAACGCCATCGAGAGAAGATGAGAGACATGCAAGCGCCGCTCACTCACGCGACGCAGCATGATGCTGACTTGGAGGCCGCCAAGAACCGCTGGGAGAAGGCTAAAGCGCTGGAGAAAGAGTCTGTGACCCGCCGCCAAGCGGAGAAGGCTGCTCAACTGGAGAAGCGCCGAGAGGACGGGGCCGGCGGCCGGCGGTCCCTGACTCTGGCCGACCCACCCGTGACTTCGCGGCACTCTCGATCGCTGAGCGCCGACAAGTTAGGAGGCTCTTCCTCAAGGCGGCTCTCCCACATGAAAGTCGAAGACTGGCAAAAGCATCAGTTGGACGCAGACACAGTGCCGAAGCGTGACTCCCGTATGTCACGTGCGGAGTCTCCGGGCGTTCCCTTTCCTGGCGGACGACGGGCCAAAGAACCGCTGAACTGAGCGAGACTGGAGTCAGACACATCATCTTGGACGATAGCATCATCACTCTTTACTCTTACGCATGGACCAGCATTATCATACATCATCCACTATTTTACAGCTACTCTTGCGCCATTCCGGTTTACGTATGAACTTCACGAATGGGTGACCAGGCTTCACTCCTGGCTATGTACACAGCTTCAAAGAGCTTCACATCAATTGTAGAATGACGGAGAATGCAACGGCTGGGAAAAACATGTCAAAACGTCCCGATTTGGTAGCTCGTTGGTGACCAAACTCCCAGGCTTGTCGTCCCCAATGTCTTCTTCCATGATGCCTTGAGCGAACCGCGGTATATAACTTCATACCATCCACCCGCGACCGCCAATCTCCGAAGGCCGCATGTCCCGCCCAGTATCTCCACGACCTCTGGTAATCCCGGTGTTGTCTTGGTCCATGTCCCCGAATCAATTTATTCTGTAGGTCCACCAGAAGCAGTCTTCTCCGAGGCCCAGCCCCACTTCGACTACTCCGAATCAAGCCTCCGATATCCCCCCTCCAATCCCCAGCATTCCGCTCAAATCGATACTTGCTTCTCCACCCACGCGCACTCCTCCAGCTTGGCTAGGATCTTCAGTTGTAGAGAGTGGCGCGCCTCCGCAGGTGCGTCGCCTGTTTTCGCCTCCGAATTCTCTTCTGAACGCGTCAATAGTTATCCGCCTCCAAACGCAAACATGACGCCAATGAAAGTGATGATCCACATTCTAAAATTCGGCGGATCGTGCGCGAACCTGCATCTCAAGATCCCGGACGTGTCATGGCCATGACCACTGTGATCTGTCTTCATGCTGCCGTAGCACAAAAGTCATATGGGAGTGAAAAACGGTTTCTCTGTCCCCCACCCGTCGTGCATATCGAGGGACCACTCTATCACATGCGACGGCAAGATCTGTCTATGACTGTCGTGTCGGAGATCGGGCAACGCTCTTTTGACCAAAAGGCGCCGCTGGATAGCAACATGACCGCTAGCTTCAAGTTCCTCCATGTAACGGGGACGGCCAAAGCGAAGAGTTTTCAATTGTCGCTCGAGATCGCAGATCCGCCTGCAGCATCCCCTACTGAAGGTGCAGAAGCGGCCCCGGGACGAGCCTGGGCGACGTTTGACTCTGCCCCGGTGACCATCATCTCGAAACCGTCGAAGAAGACGGCCAAGACGAGGAACATCTCGTCGTGCATCCTTGCGGGTGGGCCGGTATCGCTCTTCAATCGCATCAACTCTCAGACGGTGCGCACGAAATACATGACCATCGATCACGCGCAACTATGTGCCAGCAATGTGACCTGGTCCGCCTTCAACGTGAATGTGGTCCCGCGTGCAAATGATCCGCCGTCCATCGGTGCAGTCCGTTGCTAAGCTTGCTCGCGTCTTTTGATTTGGTGTGCAGGTGGACCCCAGCCAGTGACCTATGGCTGCTCGATCATCCTTTCGGACTCGCTCTCTGGCATCTCCACGTCTCCGCTCATCATCAGGAAGGTCGACAAGGGCCGCGTCTCAAACGAAGACGGTGGTCCCGTGAGCCAGATGCAGAAGATTGCATTACAGCGTGTGAACGCTGATGGAACGAGGCATTACCTTTCCGCGGCCGGTCCATTGCCTGGCACTCAGGGCGTGATTGCACCTCCTGCCCCGGGCGCCTCTTCCCAGGCAGGCAGCCATCCCCTTCTGTTCCAATCTCCGCGCATACGAGATGAGACGAAGGACGGGGTCCGCGTCCTGTCCGACGACGTCGACGACTATTTGTGTTGGACGATTGTTGGAATTTGTGCGTGATCACTTTCTTGACTGTGATCAAGGAATCATATTCTTGCAGCCAAATTTCAATACACGTTTTTCGATGCCTTCGGGCAAAATAACTCCATTCCCGAGATGCCCATCACACCTTTTCCAACTCTGTTCACTGCTCCAGTGTATCGGCAGAACAACAACACCCTGGAGCTGACAGTTGCCAACTTCTTTTATGACGAGCCTAACGGCCGGCAACAGATGCCGCTCGATGTCTATCTCGGGAATCTGGGCCCACTTCCTCATCGTGTTTACCAGACTTCACCGCCGGGGCCGCTGACGACCGTTTCTCCGTTTGTCAACAGGACGAGCGACGGAGCTGATGCGTCGCCCCACTCACCGACATCACCTATGGCACCACGGTTCGCACCTGGGCCTGTCCATGCAATCGTCATCGTCGAGTTGCCCGCCATCGCCGTTATCCTGAAGGCGCTCGAAGATGAGCCCAATCCGTCTGAACCGGCAGCGCGGGCCTCTGCATCCAATGGTAGTTCAGCCATTGCCGGTCGCTCGCTGCCCCTTCTCTTCATCCGGCCAATCGACGGTGTGGGCTATCACTCAGGCAGAACAGTCACGTGCGAAAACCTGTTTCATTCCATGGACATATCCGGTGGGATTCCAAGCAACCCCCCAGCAAATGTAGACAATAGCTGGCTCGCAGCCGCCGCTGCAGAAAACAATCTGCAAGGCTGGACGTTGCGACTGATGTGATGTTTTGGTGCGCTCTCTGTAGTATTACTGTCGACTTGCTGTGAATGGCCTATATAGTGTTTTTTATTTTCCGAATCTCTTGTATTGACTATTCTATCATCTATTTGCTCTGTGCCACTACCCGATAAAAGTCCGGAGATGATCAGAGAGATAAGATCCATGATAAGAAGCGCGTAACAAACGTGCAATAACTCAGCCACTCTTTCTCTCCACTAACCACTTACCATGTATCCTACCGACGGCATCCGGTCTCAGCTTGAGTGGTCTAGCACCCTGACCTCCCTCACCATTCCCAGTGCTGAGGAGGAGTCCAAGTACCTGCGCAAGGTTTGTTTTTTTCACCGCTCCCCCCTGCAAAAAAACTGATCGTCCTCAATCGCGACCGCTCAGACCGCCATCATTGCAACGATCGGTGAAACCGACGCTTATAGGCTCCTGCTGCTGTGAATTTACTTGCTCCTCAGGTCCTAACACCAACAGCGTCGAGAAATTGTCCGAGCTTCGTCGCGCTGGCGTCAATGTCGGTTCGTGCTGTCGCTGCTGGCCTTTCCCCTTCATCTCAGTATACGTATGCAGTCCGCATGAACTTCTCCCATGGAGAGTATTCTTACCACCAGAGTGTCATCGATAACACCAGGAAGGCCGTTGCGGGTATGTCCTTACCATACTTCCTTCGTCTTGGCAATGAGATAACGAGAGCCTTACAGCCGATCCTGCTGGTCGCCCCATGGCAATCGCGTTGGATACCGTGCGGACATTTGCCTGCGAACATTGTGATCGTCTCTTAACTCTTTACTTCCGCACAGAAAGGACCGGAGATCCGCACTGGTGTGACCAGAAACGGTGTCGACGTGCGTACATTCCATTTTGACCGGTTGCCGTCGGCTTACTTGGCCCTCTCAGTGGAAAATCTCTGCTGGACATGAGTTCATCATCTCCACCGACGAGCAATACAAAGAGAGCTGTGATGATCAGGTCATGTTCGTTGACTATGTCCGTAACACCGTCTTCTCTTTTCCAAGGATTGCATTCTGACGGAGTGCTAGGCCAACCTGCCCAAAGTCACCGCCCCAGGAAAATTGATCTACGTCGACGATGGTCTGTTTTTGGCCAAGATCAGCACCACTTGACCTCATTCATCCACTCAGGTATCCTGTCACTGCTCGTTCTGAGCATTGAGGGAGCCAACGTGCGCGTACGTGCCGTCAACAACGGAGCGATCTGCTCTCGCAAGGGTGTCAACCTTCCCAAGACCGATGTTGATCTCCCTGCCCTGTCCGAGAAGGACAAGCGCGATTTGCTCTTCGGCGTTAAGAACGGAGTCGACATGATCTTCGCCTCCTTCATCCGACGGGCCCAGGATGTGAAGGACATCCGCACTGTGCTTGGCCCCGACGGTGCCAACATCAAGATCATCTGCAAGATTGAGAACGAGCAAGGAGTCGCCAACTTTGACGAGATTCTTCGCGAGACGGACGGAATTATGGTGGCCCGTGGTGATCTTGGTATCGAAATCCCTGCCAGCCAAGTCTTCCTTGCCCAGAAGATGATGATCGCGAAGTGCAACATTGTTGGAAAGCCTGTTATCGTTGCTACTCAGATGCTCGAAGTGAGTGCCCATATGCTTCTGTCACGCGGGATCTAATGTGTTCGTGCTCAGTCCATGACGGTAAATCTTCGACGTCTCGTTCTGGAGGCTAGGTCTGATTGTTATAGTACAACCCCCGTCCGACGCGTGCTGAGGTCAGCGATGTTGCCAATGCTGTTCTTGACGGTGCCGACTGCGTCATGCTCTCCGGAGAGACTGCCAAGGGTTCATACCCCATTCAGTCTGGTGCGTGGTCGGTGCTAGGCTTCGTGGTTGCGACCTACGCGCCTGCGGGATAATTGAGACGTACTGAATGTTTGTGCAGTGCTGATGATGGCGGAAACCTGTTTGCTCGCCGAAGCTGCCATCTGCTACCCGCCGCTCTACGCAGAGTTGACTGCCGTTCAGAACCGGCCAACTCAGACGGTTGAAACGGTCGCTATCGCTGCAGTGGCTGCCGCTTCCGAGCAGAACGCCAGTGCCATTCTCGTGCTGTCGACGAGTGGTAACACTGCCCGTCTCATCTCCAAGTATCGCCCCAAGGTTCCGATCATCACCGGTTTGTTCTCCATGATCTCCGCTGATCCATCATGCTGACAAGTGGGCAGTGAGCCGCAACGAGCAGACCACTCGGCAGATTCACCTGCACCGCGGCTGCTATCCGTTCTGGTACCCGGAGCCTCGAGGTGTCCAAGACCACCAGTGGCAGATCGATGTCGACAACCGCATCCGGTTTGGTCTGCGCAATGCCATGAACCTCAAGCTGGTTGCGCCGGGAGCGACTATCATTGCTGTGCAGGGATGGAAGGGCGGTCTGGGGCACACCAACACCATGCGTGTTCTCACTGTCCCCGAGGTGGCTGACTTGGAGATGCTGCCTCTCACTGCTTGAATAAAGAAATTGCATCTGTAGAACCGAATATTAGCTGTACTTTTTTACGCCAAGCCAATCAATATAGAAGTCACGTTGATGGGAAATCTGATCATGTCGCGATTTTGGTCTCAGCCCGCGTCCACTGCATGTCCTTCACCAAAAGACGCAGCGGAAGTATCAGAGGGCGCTTGCCACACTTTTCCTCCGTAATTCAAGAGAAGTATCATGGCCGCCATCCACCATGGTTCGTGCCCTACGCCATGGGCATCCCGGGCCGTGCGCGACCTCTCAAGGTGTGGATTCTCAACCCGACGCGGGTACACCAATCCAGTATCTCCACATTCGGTCCCAAGAAGGGCTTGCTCATCCTATTCCTATTCGTCGCGGGCATTCTGGTCGTGACGACGTTTGCGGTGACGAGGTGGTTCGGGCCAAAGGAGCAGTCATGGCCAGTCTTCACCAGTGATCCACCCACGCTCGTCTTCCATCGCGAAGACATTGCCAGGATATGGTCGTGGGAGATTAAAAGCGGGCATTATCCTAGCAGGAGACGAAGTACGTGACACCGCCGATCGTCTTGCTCAACCGTAATGCTCAGCGCGTCTGGCAGTACCTCAACAGGTCGGCCTGAATGAAACGTTCGATAACCCCGCACTTCCCCCTCGGCGCGCGACTTTCCCAACCCGAATCCACGTCCCGGCTGGGCTTGGTGTCACAATAACGCGCGGCGTTGGGGCGAGGCGAGTATATTTGGACGTTCAAAGTCAGCCCCCACATGTCGCATATCCTCCAAGGTAAGATATCGGTGCTCGAGCGTTGGCATCCCTATCTCAACTTCTTGTGCGCTAGACCTGTGCCAGGAAGTATTGCCGATTTGGACATCGGTACGTGGGCGACTTCTCACACATGGTTCTGACTGGACTCGCATCTAGTCATGGAACATTGCGACTTCTCGGAAAACAAGGTGAGCTACCTTTCGAAAGAACATCGAGCCGCGGCGGTTTACACGGAAGTTGTAGTATGTTCGAGACTGCCTCGAGGTTCTGCGGGTCGGTGCTGGACTCGATAACGGAAGACGCCTCAGGAGAGGCAAAATGCAGGACTTCCAGTACATTTTCGTCGAACAAACCGATCCTGAAGACCCGCCTGCTATAGTGGAAGACCAGAAACCGTTGATCGCACCCTTGATCACAGACGTGGCGTCGGAAACACTGTCAGACGTCGGGTTGGTCAAGAAAAAGGGGATTGCTTGGGAGGTTCCTCCGATTGCTCTTACACAAGAACGCCCATACAAAACACATTCTACTCCCGGCGAACCCTGTGATCCTGAAAACCCGCGCTATTTCCACCTGTTCTGGACTGGGCCGTTCACGGACAAACCGTATCTAGCTCTGCTCAGTTTCTTGTTCACCCAAAACACGGGGCTCAATGCGCAGGATAACCAGGAGAGTCTTGTTTGCCGACCGAAGTTCTTGCTTTGGATCAATCCGGGCCCCGCTGCAGCCATGCCTAATCCGTCGGCGCGCCGAGAGATGTTCGACGAGCTCAAGGCGAATCCGTGGGCTGCGCCGTTCCTGCACCCCCGATTCAAGGATGTGATCGAGTTTAGGCTGTGGAACACAACCGAACAGTTGGACGGGGTCAAGGAAATCGCTGGAGACTGGCGCAGGCACGATCTCTTCAACTCCGGTGGACATATCATCAGTGTGCCCGCTAAGCATAGCGCAGAAACGTCCGCGGCATCAGCGTCGGATCCTACGGAGCCTGTTATCACCGCCAAAACCGAAGGCAACGACATGCTCAACAGGATAGGGTCCAAGTCTTCAAGCTCGTACGACCGCCTCAGTGTGATCCTTTCGGACATGGCACGCTTTATCCTGTGTCACAGGTGTGTTTAATTGTGACCTTTTCGTTGGTTGGTTCACTCAGTTCTAGATATGGCGGCATATATCTTGATGCCGACACACTTTTGCTTCGTGATTGGGAGGAACTGTGGGGATGGAGGGGTGGTGCGCTCAAATTCCTGGGTTCTTGCTGTTCTTGTCCTAATCACTTCGTTGCAGCCTATGCATACCGCTGGAGTCGACTGGAAAAATACAACACCGCTGTGCTGCATCTGAACAAAGGCTCGGCGCTTGGAACGTTCCTATTTCGAACTGCGCTGAAGAACAATCTTGGTGCGTGCTGTCCCGCGGGCGAGGCTATGGCTAATCCTGTGGTAGATTTCCATCCTATGACCGTCTCCAGATATCTCAAGGAAGCACATCTTGAAGGGTTACTCCTGCGACTCCCCGATGCTTTGTTTGATTCGGCCTGGCTCAGCACAGAGTATTATCAGTGGAAGCGACCGCCGCAGCCGTTCTTCACAGAGTTAGAAACTTGCAATCCGTTGCACTCTGCGCTCATATAACCTATCGTAGCTTTGGCGATTTCTTCGACACGCCTCCAGAGTCCAGTGCTGCTCCCCATGCATTGGGCTTCGACGGTTTTTTCAAGGGTGCATTCTCATATCACTTCCATAATTATTGGTCAGTTGCGCTCGTTGATCCTGGCTTGCAGTCCTGATTTCTACCCAGGTGGAAGCCTTTCGACCCAGCGCGCAATTGGCCAGATCTCGGACCCCGATTCAAAGCAGGAGAGGATGCTGCACGGCTCAAAGCCATGGCCGCTGTGACCAGCACCCCGCAGCAGTCGGCGACTACTATGGCTTCTCCGGCCGAGGTCGAGGACGAAGCCGATCAGCGGGATTTAGATTGGTCGACTGTCATGAAGAGGACGTTTGAGGCCTACGTCCGAGGAGAGCGGCAAGTCAATCCACTTCTAGTCTTGGCAGATTTGCTCATCGTTGAGTTACAGGCCATCGATGTATGGAGAGTGGATCCAGTGGTAGCTGGAAGTGTAGTATACATAGTAGATCATCATAATAATCTCATCGCGGAATATACCATCATGTGTTTCTATGCTGCTGACTGGAATTTGGCTTGCGCGGTGTTTACCGCCATCTTAAGAGCGGATATCACGCCTTCTGGGTCTTGAGCACCGAAGATGGCGGTCCCTGCAACGATCACATTGCTCCCTACATATCGAGTCACTTGATGTAGGATTGATCCTGTGAGACGAAACGCACCTGCGTGAGCACAAACGTCGATGGTGCTCGGACCGACACCACCGTCCACCTCGATGTCCTTCTCGGGGAAACGGGCGCGGAGCTCGGCAACCTTCGGAACACAACGTTCAAGGAACTTCTGCCCGCCACGACCTAGTGAACGCACGGTCGAATTCGGCCTCGTTCGGGAAATGATGCACATACCGGGGTAAACGGTCATCACCAAAAGCATGTCCGCAGCGTTGGCGACCTCATCCGTGATTGCACTCGATGGGGTGTCGGGCGAGATGGCAATGCCAGCCTTCATCTTCCGTGCATGGATCGCGTTAATAAGGGACAGAGGGTCGCCTGCACACCGGAAGGTCAGCGACGTCCCGGGGAGACATGTAATGCGGAAACAGTACTCGTCGCCTCATAATGAAAGCAGTATAGGGCTCCTCCAGCGGCAGCGATGTCATCCACCCACTTGGCAGAATTCGTCAAGATCTAATGAACGTCGGAGGGATGACTGCAGAATAACCTTCTCGGGTTCGGCGACCATCATGTGGCAGTCCATGAATATGTCGGGAACGCCTTTGGAGACGCAAGCAAGGATCGGTGCACCTTTGCGCGTTTCATTGAACACAACCATTTGATGCACTCGACTTGGACACGCTCACCCATAGTGATGTTGGGCACGAAGTGTCCGTCCATCACGTCCATGTGCAGCCATTCCGCCCCGCCTTTCATCATCCGCTTACATTCTGCAGTAAGCTGCCCAAAATCGGACGCGAGCACGGAGGGTGAGATGATAGCGCGAGGCATGATCAGCGGATATCGATGAGGTAAACACGGCCAAGCACCTTGGCAACCGATCATTTGAGGATTTCGCGCTTGGACCATGACGTCATGCATATGAAACCTCTCATTTGAAACTCGTACTCAAGTGTTCAGCTGACGTGTTGGAATATATGCTGTAGGATTGATGCCGCGGACTGACTGAGCCCTCCTGAGCCGGATCCTGTATCTCTCCGTGTAAATCATGCGTCGGAAAATCCCCGCAACATAGCCGAAGAACGACGTCATTGATGCGCTCCATTGGTTACGACTGACATACATATTTAAATACCCCGCAGCCACACGCTTCGACCTCCACTTTTTCTGTCTCTTCTTTTACGACCGTCATGTTCTTCACCAAGCATATCACGATCCTCCTCCTGGCTGCTGCTGCTAGCGTCAGTGCTGCTCCCCAAAGTGCGTGCTCCTTTGACGCTGTGATGGCTCCTGAACCCAACCTCTCGCAGTCGACAGCATATTCAACAGCATCACTTCGGACATCGTATCTGTAGCGACACAAGTGGCATCCGGTGCTGAGTCTGTCGGTACCGTCGTCGCTACCGGTGCCGAGTCTGTCGGCACCGTCATTGCCAGCGGTGCCAAATCCGTCGGCACTCAGGTCGCGAGCGGAGCGGAATCTGTGGGAACACAGATTGCGAGCGGTGCTCAGGGAGCTTTCCAGACCGTGACATGTACGTTTCCCTGTCTTGAATATGACAGTGCTGGTTACTCACCGTTCAACCCTTTGCCCAGCTGCCGGCGGACACGCTGTGACAGTTGTGACTTCAGTGGGAGGTGAAGCAATCACGCTCGCCGCCTCGGGAGCGGGCCGACTCACCACCTTCGCCGGCTCCGTTTACAACGCCGCCACCAGTGCTGCGGGCTCTGCAGCCACCGGAAACGCTGGTGTCACTCTTGCCGCTTCACCAAGCCTATTCGTTGGCTTGGCATCCGTGCTCGCAAGCATTTGCGTCGGCGCCATGGTAGTTGTCTGAAGGCATATTCTATTTGCTACCTGTGGACTTGAGGGACTTCTAATTTCGACACTTATTTTACCCTATAATTCAAAGAGAGTGCTCGATTGGTGAATAAGAAATTTGCTGTGTAACTCTGCTCATCCGGCATCAGACCAATGCACTATAACTCCCCACCCCACACATCGAGTCTCTTTCATGATACATTCACGAACACGCGGAAACGAAAACCATGAACTTGACACTTGAATTACGAGCGAGGCAGAACGATAGTCACACCTTTGCAATCAGCATCTGAGCGTTATAGCAGGACATCTAATTCTCCAATTATATACTACTGGGGCCGGAAAATTTTGCCAGGATTTGCGCCAAAGGACAGAGCCCTGCCTGACAAGATCCCAAGCTTCTGGGCTGCAAGGCTAAGCGGTGCTGGTCAAATACCATCAGGGGTGAGGATCTGCCAACCTGATAAAGTGGTCCCATCTGTATACCAGCATAGTGCGCCAGAGTCCGACGGTTCGAATCACGCGCGGACACAAGTCGAGGGAGAAATTTGTTCAAAGACCACACACGTCATGGAATGGCTTTGATTTCGATGACGGTTGGCCAATTGACCCCAATCTGGGCAAGATTCTGCTCAACAAAATTTGAGAAATTTGATATTTTGGCGCTAACCTGAACAGGGTCAAATATAGATCCTATTATACCACCTGGGTTTTTCTCAACACAGTAGGTAGGTCGGGCAGGGACCGGACGCAGGACAAACGCCGCCGATACAACCCCCTTCTGATGCTCCTTCTGATGTATCTGATGGCAGGCACAGCAATTTGAACTAGTTCAACAGGTTCGTGTACCACTTTTTGCACCCTCCTCGTCTGTGATTGGCTGGAAAATGAGGGTCTAGAGGGTGCTCCAGTCACCCAGACTGATCCAGACACTTGATGAATGGATGCTAATCAGGGTGGAACCAGTCCCGCTCTCTCCGTTTACAATGCGAGCAATGCCATTGGCGGGCGCGCTCACACCACCCGCGAGGAGCAGGGCAACGTGAATGAGCCTGAGAACACAGAAACGCGAACTGGTTCACCTCAGAGTGTATAAATCCTTGCGTCCAGCCATGCAAGTCGACCAACACACAATGAACATCGCACAGTCCTGTCTCCGATGTGGCCACCACCATCTGGAGGGCACCCCTCATTTCCCTACTACACCGGACCGCATTGCGATCATGTCTGCATACATGGCCGCGCTGCAGACGCGCGAAGACAGCGACGAGGCCGAATCCAGTGACGAGAGCGACGACGAGTCCAGCTCCGACATCGACTTCGACGAGCCCTCAATATTGGAGGGCGTCCAGCTCGACGTGCCACACCCAGATGACATCACCACCGACGACTCGGCATTCAGCAGCGACGACGAGTTCGCCAGCGAGCAGAACAAGCTTCAACAGAGAACGCGTCGCGAGGTACGGACTCATACATCATCCTCCGCCCCGCGACGCTGTCGAGACTGACAATAACCATCTAGCTCGCGTTGGGTCGGCCGACCTCGGCCATACTCGCCATGCGACCAAAGGAGCTTGCGCGCATGCAACTGTCGTACATGAAACAGCTCGACGACGCCGACGAGGAGATGTCTGAGCTGACTGGAACGACGCATCAACCGATACCCCGAAACCGAGATGAGCCGATTCTCGACGGCCAAGGCAAAGATGGAGACCAGTTTGTCCTGGCGCTGCGTCAGAGGTCAGACAAGGCGGTGATGAACATGGAGGCTCGTTCCGAGAGCATCCTGCAGCTGGTTGCCCTCGCCCAAGCCTTGTTCCGCAAGGAGCGCCAGGCTAAGCATATGCAGGGCTGAGTATCACGCCGTAGATATCATCTATCGGACGAAATTGTATTTGGCGATGTGATTGATGCACATGATCGTAATCTAGTCCTCAATGGTCATGTCTCGCTGCATCTAGAATACGCTTGTTTAATCGGGCCGGAACGGGCGGGACTGAGCGCGACTCACCGATGAGTTGAAGAACAGCGAGTTCATGCCCCACGGGAAAGGCTTGTTACGCTTGTTGAGGTACTCGAAGCGAGGCGGTTGGGGGAGCTTTCCATCGTTTTCAGCCATCAGGTGAGCGTTGTGCGCCTTATGCTCGATTTCCACGTTGTAGACGTAGGTACCAAAGATTGCAACTAGCCAGACAACGTCAGGTAAATATGACGGAGAGGCCGGAAGATAACGGACGGGCAGGAATGCAGACATAGTAGCTGGAATGACTTCAGTCCCACAAGCGAATACTCGGGCGGATGAAACCCACCTCATCTTCCGCCATAATTCAGCTGTAGCTGAGAGAAACGTTGAGCCCCTTCGGTCGGGAAGAACAGGAAGGACATGTAGATTTACACAGCGCATGGTGTTCGATAGCTTGCTGGTTAGCAAGCCATTGAGCACGGGCCTGCTCAACAGCAGTCTCGGAGTAGGCCCGCACAGCAGGGGAGGACCGGAGGAGTGCTCGGCGTGGAAGGAAAGACATGTTTGTGTGGTCCTGATTGGAGCCACCAGCTTGACGCCATCAATTCGACGCGAGCTGACGCGTCCTTCTCTCAACTCGAAAGTACCTACCCACCTCCATCACCATGGTCCGTCAGTCGTCTGCTGCTGGTGTACTTGCCCTCCTTTCGGAACCGGACCCCGTATTCAAACAACACGCTCTCGACGCGCTCAATCCGCTCGTTCCGCATTTCTGGGCAGAAATTTCAGAGCACATTGCTCTTATGTGCGTTTATCTCCAACTGTCTCGCATCCTTCACTCATCTAACATCAGTGAGTCTTTGAACGAGAATGAGACTCTTCCTCAGAAAGCCCGTGACTCCGCTGCGTTGCTGGCTAGCAAAGTCTATTACTATCTGGGAGAATACGACGAGGCGCTTTCTTTCGCTCTGGGTGCTGGATCTGTTTTCGAAGCTGAAACTCGTGCCTCTGGATCGGAGGAATACGTCGAAACTGTGCTGTGTATGTGTCCTAGTCCTTTCATGTTCGTTCGCACTGGTTTAAGGCTTGTCGTTGCTTTTCTACCACAGCTAAAGCTATCGACCGCTATATTGGAGTTCGCAGCGAAGAGAAGATCAAGTCTGAGAAGGTCGATCCCCGACTGCAGTCCGTGGTGGAAAACATATTCCTGCGGTGTATCGAGGAACGCGAGCTCAAGCAGGTGTGTGGTTCCAACGCGAGTGGATTTATTTGCTCAAATGCAATCTATCCAGGCCATCGGCATTGCGTTGGAGTCCCGAAGACTGGACGTGATCTCCCGTATATATTCCCAGACGAACGATACTTCCCTGCTGTCCTACGCGATGGAGGGCGTATTAGACGCGGGTTTCTCCTTGTCCTACCGCGACGAAGTCCTGACCTTCCTGTTCCCCCTCTTCCCGAAACCAAAGGCTGGCGACAACTCCCCCCACGTCCATTCGATTACGAGGTTACTGGTCACACTCAGTAATCCATCACTTACTGTGCCGTACATCACTTCCCTGGTGCCTCAAGAGAAGCTGGTAGCATACCAGTTTGCATTCGATCTCGTCGAAGGTGGATCGCAAGATTTCTTGGAGAGTGTGAGGAACGATCTCCCCGATGGTGATTCGGTGCGCAGTGTCAAATACCCTCCGCGAATCGGTCCTAAAGATCTTTCAGGAGACAAAAGACGTCTACGACAAGCTTCGCAATATCTTGACAGGACAGGAATCGGTCAAGTTGTATCTCCAATTCCTAAAGCGAAACAACCAAACCGATCTTCTCATTCTCCGACACACCAAGGTCTAACCTCATCTTTGTTCATCCACTTTGTGCTGAATTAGACTCCAGGACGTACTAGAATCTCGCTCATCTGTCTATCACACAGCCCTCACCCTCCAAAACGCCTTCATGCACTCCGGCACGACCTCTGATGTCTTCTTGCACGAGAATCTAGACTGGTTAGGTCTGGCATCGAATTGGTCCAAATTTTCCGCGACAGCAGCTCTTGGAGTCATTCATAAGGGTTATTTCGAACAGGGGATGACTATCGTTGGGCCTTATCTTCCCCAGTCCAATGGAGAGAGCAACATCCAGGGTGCTGCGTACTCCGAGGGTGGTGCACTGTATGCTTTGGGTCTTATCAATGCGGGTTGTGGAGGTTCAGTGATTGGCTATCTACGAGACACTTTGAAGGCTGCACAAGGAGAAGTTGTGCAACACGGTGCAGCTCTCGGGCTCGGTGTTGCAGCAATGGGGTCCAAGAGCACGGATGCGTTCGAGGATCTGAAGAACACTCTTTTCCAGGACTCCGCAGTTGCTGGTGAAGCCTGTGGCTACGCCATGGGGCTAATCATGCTGGGCACCGCAATGGCCGATGCTGTTCGGGAGATGCTGATGTACGCGAGAGAGACGCAACACGAGAAGATCATCCGAGGTCTTGCTGTCGGTGTCGCATTCATCTTCTATGGTCGTCAAGAAGAGGCCGACGAGACCGTCAAGCTGTTGTTGGCTGAAAAGGTGAGTTTGCTCACAGTGGGATCGTCTCAGTCAATTCATTTCGCACCTTCAGGATCCTATCCTTCGATATGGTGGTGTCTACACATTGGCATTGGCCTATGCCGGCACTTCGGATAACGAAGCTGTACGACAGCTCTTGCACATTGCCGTGTCAGACACTTCGGACGATGTTCGACGGGCTGCGGTGACGTCTTTGGCTTTCTTGCTTTTCAAGAATCCAGTTCAGGTTCCAAGGATTGTCCAGCTGTTGAGTGAGAGCTACAATCCTCATGTAAGATGTGGTGCTACGCTGGCTTTGGGAATCGCCTGCGCTGGAACTGGGTTACAGGTAGGCCCTGTTCATGTCAGTTGCTGGAACTGGCTGAGGCAGCCTCCAGGATGCGGTTGAAATCTTGGAGCCGATGACCAAGGACAGCGTCGACTTTGTCCGTCAGGGCGCTTTTATTGCACTGGGTATGGTGCTCGTGCAACAATCCGAAGCGTCGTCGCCCTCGCTCTCGTCGACGCGTGCACTGTATACCAAGGTGGTATCTGATAAGCACGAGGATCCTATGGCTCGATTTGGTGCAGCAATCGGGCAAGGCTTCATCGACGCCGGTGGTCGCAACGTGAACATCAGTTTACAGAGTCGAGCAGGCAGTAAAAACACCAACGCCATCGTCGGCATGGTCATGTTCTGCCAGTTCTGGTATTGGTATCCTCTTGCCCACTGCGCCTGCCTGGCTTTCGATCCTACCGGCATTATTGGCCTGAACGCTGACCTCAAGGTGCCCAGATTCATGTTGCTCTCCACAACTGCTCTAACACCCCGGGCAGGTCCCTAAACTCGACTTCACTTCGAATGCTCGTCCCAGTCTATTTGCGTACCCTCCCACGACCAAACCTCCGAAGAAGGAGACAGTCTCGAAGGTTGCGACAGCTGTGTTATCGACCACTGCCAAGGTTAAGGCCCGAGAAAAGAAGAAGGCTGCGACCGACGAAAATGCGATGGACACTGTGAGTAGCTATTGATGGCCGCTGGATTGCACTAATACGTTACAGGATGACAAGAAAGAGACGGACGACGTCGAGATGAAGGGTGCAGACGAGACAGCTAAGGATCCCGGAGAGATTTCCCCCATCACTGGCCCGTTATCCTCTCTGCCTGATGACAAGGCCTCGACGAAACCAGTGAAAAAGGCCGAGCCGTCGTCTGAAACGCTATCCAATTTGTCTCGAGTGACGCCCGCCCAGCTGGGCTACATCTCTTTCCCTCCCGACGGCCGCTTCCAGCCTGTGCGAGCTGTTTCAGCTCGGCCTGTTTCTCGAGGGGGCAAATCGACTGTCACCAGCAAGTTGCCTAGTTCTGAAAAGTACGCATCGGGTGGATGCATCCTCATCATGTCGGATCTGCGACCAGATGAGGAGGTTGAGTTGATCGACTTTGAGCCCGCAGCCCCAGTGGCGGTGGCTGGCGCTGAACCAGCTATTGCTTCTCAAAGCACACCAGCAGCATCCACGGGACCTCATATATCGCTAGACGAGTCCAGTCCGGAAGTGGGTCCCCCAGAGCCATTCGAGGTGAGTTCTTACGGGTCTTTCACATCTCCGTTGCTGACTACAGTCCAGTATCCTTTCGATAACGATTCATGAATCATTCTAATGTGTCTCAATCAATTCCTTTGCATCATTACTAAGCATTCTGCTCGTTGTGCTTCTCGATGACATCCATGTTACGCGTGGCGATTCTGGACGATTACCAGCGCGCTGCGCTCCAGTATGCTGACTGGACCGTTATCCAAAACCGGGTCTCTATCGACGTCTATACGGATACCATCGCAGACGAAGATCTGCTCGTGGAACGACTGGCCGGGTATGATGTAGTTTGTACAATGAGAGAACGAACCAAATTCAGAGCCTCTCTGCTCGATCGACTCCCGAAGCTGAAGTGAGTCTTGTGTGATGGAGCAGCGATATATTGCTTAGCTCCAGGCTTCTTACCACGACCGGGATGCGTAACTTTGCTATCGATACGATACATGCGAAGCAACGCGGGATTGTTGTCTCTGGGACGAAATCGTCCTCCACCTCCACTCTAGAACACATCTGGGCTGCAAGTACATTCCCATACCCAAAGGCAATCGAGGGTCCGATAACTTATCGTCAGATGATCTTGGCCACGGTCCGACATATCACAACTGAAGATGCTAGTATCAAAGCCAAAAATCCTCAGTGGCAGTCCTTGGTTCCGACAGGATTGTCAGGCAAGACGCTGGGCCTCATTGGTCTCGGACGACTGGGCTCTCAGACAGCCCAGGTTTGAGTTTTCTCATCTCCGCAAAGGAACTGGATGTTCACTTGGAGATAGATCGCCAAGATTTTCAACATGCGGGTGGTTGGCTGGTCCCCCAATTTGACTTCAGAGAGGGCCGATCAGGCGGGAGTCGAGTTTGCACCGTCGAAAGAAGACTTGCTGAAGCAGAGCGATATCGTTTCACTCCATCTCGTCCTTTCCGAACGCACCCGTCATCTCATCGGTGCTGAAGACCTGGCTCTGATGAAACCCTCCGCATACATAATCAACACATCCCGAGGGCCATTGATCGACGAGAGCGCTCTGATTACGGCTCTGAAGAGTAGGACGATCAGAGGGGCGGGATTGGATGTCTACGAACAAGAGCCTGTGCGTGTCTGTTCTGTGCTGAATATCCACTGACCTCCGGCCCGTAGCTTCCACTAGAACATCCCTTGAGAAATTTGGTCGATGTGACACTCAGTCCGCACAATGGCTATGCCAACGACACGTCCTATCAGGTGGGCCGTTCGTGATCTCATGTTCCATTTGGGACTAATCAGCAGCAGGATTTCTGGCGGCAAACGGTTAGCATTCTATGATCTGCAATGCGAGACTGATTCAGCGATGTAGGTTGAGAACATTGAAGGGTTCCTGAATGGAGAGCCCCTCCGGATCGTCGAACACGGCCCAGCAGATACGCATGATGTGAAACCATAGCTTAGTTCGTTGCGAGGATATATGAGTACCTTACCTGAATAAGGCGATGCATTCGATAAGCTCAATACATGCCTGTTCAACTTGAATGTGATGGTATACAGTAGGGTACGCGTGCGTGACACACGCGTGTGTCACGTCACACATTTCTTTACATCTAACCACCACTCTCTGTGCCCACCAACATGGACAGCGGCGAATCCAGGACGATGAAGGCTCGTAGGGATGGTCAGATCTCTATCTAATAGCCGTCCAATCTCCCACTGACACGTCCACTCAGCCTACAAGAACAAGGGCGCATTCAAAGAGGAGGACCGCAGGAACCGTCGCAATGAACAGCAGGTCGAAATCAGAAGGCAGAAGCGGGAAGACAATGTTTCCAAACGTCGCACACTTCTGCCTGGTGGCGATGCTGAATCCGATGAGGAAATTGGGAGTGGCTCTTGGGAAGCTCCGGTCCGCACATTCCCATGGTACTTTTTGTGGGTGTGAAGCTCAAGTTTTGCAGCTGGCACAAGAGATGGTGAACAGTGTCTTCTCTGACGACCCGGACCGCCAACTCGATGCGACATCCAAATTCCGCAAGCTGCTATCTAAGGAAAAGAATCCGCCGATCGAGCGTGTCATTGAGTGTGGGGTTGTCCCCCGCTTTGTGGAATTCTTGCGTCAAGGACATTCTATGCTTCAGGTGCAACGATATCTGTCACATCTGGCTCATCGTTCTAATTGATCGGACGCAGTTCGAAGCAGCATGGGCCCTCACGAACATCGCGTCGGGGACTGCGGAACATACCCAAGTCGTGATTCATGCGCAAGCCGTCCCCGAATTCATCAATCTTCTGTCGTCGCCTACTCTTGACGTTCGAGAGCAAGCCGTGTGGGCTTTGGGTAACATTGCTGGCGATAGTCCCCAGTGTCGAGATTATGTCCTCCAGCAGGGTGCCCTACGACCACTGCTGACATTGTTGAGTGAACAGCATAAGTTGAGTCTTCTGCGGAATGCAACGTGGACTCTGAGCAACTTTTGCCGGGGTCGATCACCCCAGCCTCAGTGGGAACTGGTGAGTGTTGTGATCTTGCCCCAAGTGCTCTGACCTCAATGGGAACAGATCGCCCCGGCCCTGACGGTGCTCGCGAAGCTGCTATACTCTCTGGATGATGAGATCCTCATCGACGCGTGCTGGGCCATCTCATACCTGTCCGACGGATCGAACGACAAGATCCAAGCCGTGATCGAGGCCGGTGTCTGCCGTCGACTGGTCGACCTCCTCATGCACCAATCGACCTCTGTTCAAACGCCCGCTCTGCGCTCGGTGGGTAACATTGCAACCGGCGATGACCTGCAGACGCAGGTGCTAATCGCTTCGGCTGTTCTTCCCGCACTTCTATCACTTCTTTCTTCTCCCAAAGAAGGCATTCGGAAGGAAGCGTGCTGGACCATTTCGAACATCACCGCCGGCTCTCCGCACCAGATTCAGGCTGTCATCGACGCCAACCTGATTCCTCCCTTGATCAACATCCTGCAGAACGCCGACTTCAAAACCAAGAAGGAAGCGTGCTGGGCGCTGTCGAACGCGACGTCCGGCGGTCTACAGGAGCCGACACAGATCCGATACCTTGTAGCGCAAGGCTGCATTAAGCCTCTGTGCGACCTGTTGACTATGATGGATAATAAACTGATCCAAGTCGCTCTGGACGGCCTGGACAATATTTTGAAGATTGGAGAGGCCGACAAGGTTGCTGCTGGGCCTGGTGCGACGAACCAGTACGCGCAGTTCATCGAGGAGGCTGGTGGCATGGTCACTATCCACAACTTGCAGCAACATGAAAACTTGGATATCTACAAAAAGGCATTCAATATCATGGACAAATACTTCCCGGACGAGGAGGACATCGACGCGGCTATCAACGCACCTGCGGTTGATTCCACCGGATCTTTCGCAGTCCGTGATATCCCCGCTTTACCAAACTGCGTCTCACTTTTTTTCAGTTCCAATCGGAGGTTCAGGCGCCTCAGGGTGGATTTAGCTTTGGAAACTGATCGGATCTGGCATATGAATATACCGCACTGTAAATCAGTACACTATAATGTAGATGCTCTTGCTTATCAGTTTCAATCAATTTTCGCAAATCGCGATGAGTCACAGGTGTGATTCAGCCGTCACATTCTGCTTCTTGCTTTGAGCGTTTACCATGGACGGCGATTCGCGAACAACCAAGGCTCGTAGAGATGGTGAGATGCATTGCATTGAATCCATAATCGCGTCTCAACGCGTTACAGCATACAAGAGTAAGGGTGCTTTGAAGCAAGATGACTTGAGGCGCCGTCGGGAAGAACAACAGGTCGAGATCCGTCGGCAGAAAAGAGAGGAAAACATCTCAAAGAGACGGAATTTCCTTCCTTCTGGCAGTGCCGACTCCGATGAAGAAGTCGGTCCTGCTAGCTGGGACTCTCCGGTGCGTGGCTGAAAGAAACAATGCCAAGCCAATGCTCATTTGAGCTTGTAGCTCGCAGAGGACATGATCGCGGGCGTCTTCTCAGACGACGCTGATCGCCAGCTTGATTCCACCACCAAGTTCCGCAAGCTGCTCTCAAAGGAGAAGAACCCTCCCATCGAGCGCGTCATTGAATGTGGTGTTGTCCCTCGTTTCGTCGAATTTTTGCAAAAGGGACCTCCGATGCTGCAGGTCAGTATTCGTGGTTCTCTAGCGTGATCGTTGATGACAACGTGGTATCTAGTTCGAAGCCGCCTGGGCTCTTACTAACATCGCGTCGGGCACTGCAGACCACACCCAAGTGGTCATCAACGCGCAGGCTGTGCCAGAATTCATCAACTTGCTCTCGTCCCCCTCGCTCGACGTTCGGGAGCAGGCTGTCTGGGCTCTTGGCAACATCGCTGGAGACAGCCCTCAGTGTCGGGATTACGTCCTCCGGCAGGGAGCTCTGCGCCCTCTGCTGACTCTTCTCAGCGAGCAGCACAAGCTCAGCATGCTCCGCAATGCGACCTGGACGCTTAGCAACTTCTGTCGTGGCAAGTCTCCTCAGCCGGATTGGGATTTGGTGGGTCTCGCTTCGTCCTGTAAGCTCTGCCGCTCATTTGGCTCGTAGATCGCTCCCGCTCTCACCGTGCTGACCAAACTGATCTACTCTCTCGACGACGAAATTCTTATCGACGCGTGCTGGGCCATTTCTTACCTTTCGGACGGCTCCAACGATAAGATTCAGGCTGTGATCGAATCCGGAGTTTGTCGCCGACTCGTTGACTTGCTTTTGCACAACTCGACGGCTGTCCAAACTCCGGCGCTCCGTTCGGTCGGGAACATCGTGACCGGTGACGATCTGCAGACACAGGTCGTTCTTGCGTCGGGCGCACTTTCCGCGCTTCTGACGTTGTTGTCATCCCCGAAGGATGGCATTCGCAAGGAGGCGTGCTGGACCATCTCGAATATCACGGCTGGCTCTCCACCTCAAATCCAGGCGATCATCGACGCCAATATCATTCCACCATTGATCAACATCCTCCAGAATGCAGACTTCAAAACCAAGAAGGAGGCGTGCTGGGCGATTTCCAATGCCACATCCGGTGGATTGCAAGAGCCGGCCCAGATCCGGTATCTTGTGTCGCAAGGTTGCATCAAACCTCTTTGCGACCTGCTCACCATGATGGACAACAAAATCATCCAAGTGGCCCTAGACGGCCTCGACAACATTCTGAAGATCGGAGAGGCCGATAAGGTTGCTGCCGGACCTGGGGCAACGAACCAATTTGCCATCTATGTCGAGGAGGCCGGCGGGATGCTCACAATCCACAATCTCCAACAACACGAGAACTTGGACATCTACAAGAAAGCGTTCAACATCATGGACAAGTATTTCCCGGATGAAGACGATCTTGATGCTGCCATCAGCGCTCCTGCCGTCGATGCCTCTGGTGCTTTTGCGGTCCGTTCAGCTGTCTGTGGCACTGTTTTCGTCTCACCTGATCGTTTCATCATAGTTCCATTCGGACGTCAGTGCTCCCCAGGGCGGTTTCAGTTTTGGGCAGTAAATGTTACATTCGTCCCTTTACGCAGCGTGATTATAGCATTTGTATACTCTCATCATATAAACCAACCACTTACTGTAACGACATCGCTAAAAGTGGAGCCAAGCAGAGACAAATAGCCGATGCTCAGAGCGCGCACTACGACGCGCCTTCCTATTGCTCGTTTCCCTCACTCGGCGCGTTTCGCTCATTCAGCGCGCTTCCCACCCACCGCACCTAGATCCCGACCACCGCCTAAGGATGCCGGTCAGACGGTGGATCCCATCTTGTTTTCTCAGATCCGTCAGCGCATCGTTCAAAGGCACAATGCATCCACTGTGGAGGTCGATGAGGACCTTGTCAATCGAAGTATCTTCCAAATTACTTCTGCGCTGAAGAATAAGGATCTTTCCCTCGCTCGCCGCTCTTGGGAGGAGCTCGAGCGTGTGAAGTGTCTCCATTTTATTGGCCCACAGCTCTTGGAGGAAATCGCGAAGCTCGCTATGACGCACTCCCCTACCGACTCTCTGTTATCCCGGTGGAGCCCAGACGGACAAGAATTCGTCGAAAGCGTTGTGTTGGCTGCTGCCTCGCGCCGTTCCCTCTCCCCATTACAAAACTGTATGCTCAAATACCTCCAACGTGAAGACGCCAACGCAGCTCTAAAGCTGTACGCAAAATTCACGCAGCTTCACACGGAGTCGACTGCTTCTGATGTCGAGCCATTAGAGGAAGAGGTCGTGGTTCTCAAACCAAAGTCCGAAACATCGCCGTCGGACCTCTTCCTCGTCGTCGTAGCAGCTTATGCACATCTGGATGCATTCGAGGATGCAGCACGAGCCTACCTTGGTATGGAGCAGCAAATGGATCGACATTCTTACCACCCCATGTCGCGCCGGCTGCCTCTGAAAACCAAAGCGAAGTTTTTGTATTTCGTGCAAAGGCTCGACGTGGTCAGATCGGTCTCTCGACCCTTGACACTCTCGAAACACATCGACAATCTCTCGAAGCACCCGCAGTCAAATCGTGCTGCGCTCCAAGAGTTGTATGAGTCGGTGATGGATACCGTTTTGGAGCCCGATGCCTGTGTCGCGCCAGACGACGAGCGACGAACACCCACGAAGATAGTGGGCATGTCAGAGTTGATCTGGGCCTCGTTTCTGACCGCCTTTCTGCGGCGATCCGAGAACGAGATGGCGGCCAAGGTGTGGAAGCACATGACTCAGCTGGGAGTAAAACCCGGAATCTTAACGTGGAATCTGGTCATCGCTGTTTACGAGGACCGTCGGTCAGTCCGCGAGGCATTGGGTGCCTGGGATGCGATGGTGGCTCAGGGTGTACAACCAGACGGGGCAACATTTCGCTCAGTCATCTCTTGTTTGTTCAGCGCTCGTCAATCTGACGATGCGGTGAGGTGGTTCAAAGCGTTTGTCGAAAAAACTCAGAGCCGGTGCTCTCAGGCGCAGACGATCGCCATCTACAACGCGATGCTCCATGGTTTCCTCCAGGAGAAGAAGAACGAAGCCAAGGCGATGGAGTTATTCAGGCTGATGCTTGCCGAGGGGCCTGAACCCGATTTGGTCTCTTACAACACGCTCATGGGCTATCATGGACGTTGGGGCGATCTCAAGGCCATGGCTGCTGTTATCCAGGAGATGTCTGCAAAGCAAGTTGCCGGCGACGTGTTTACATATTCCACCATCCTCTCCGCTCTACTGAAGGTCGGCCGCACCGACGCGCCGCAGATGGTCATTGGAATCATGCGACGGCAGGGAGTGAAGGCCAATGTTGCCATCTACACTGCGATCATCGACGCCCAGATGCGAGAACAGACGGTCGCCAGTCTGCAGATCGCCATGAAGATGTTGGACGGAATGGAGAACGACCCCGACACAGCTCCGAACCATATCACCTACACCACCATTCTCGCAGGGCTATATCGCGGCACATGGCTCACTCCCGAACAAATCCAGCACCAAAAAGACGACATCGTGGCCCGGATGAAGAGAAGGAAGATCGTGTTGGAGCCGGGAGGATACAATATTCTCATCAATGCATGTCTACGATGGCCAGATTCGCAGGGGCTCGAGGAGGCGCTCTGGTTCTATCGCGATATGACACGCCGTCGAGTTCCACTGGACACTTCTACATGGTACATCTTATTGGCGGGGTCCTTGGCACGCGGAGAGTGGAAACTTGCCCGAGAGATTGCGGAGGACATGTTCGCTTCTAACATTCAGCCGACTAATAGCATTCTGCGATTAGTAGACCAAATTAGAGAGCGGGGAATACACCGATAACTGTTCGTCCTCACCTTGCAATTATCCCCAAATGAAGGCCTTGGTCAGGCCGTATTGTAAATAGCGGGTGTAAGCTGAAATGACTTGAGGCGGTCAAGAGACGGATGAAGGCACCGAACGAACCCCACATGCTCCATCGTCTCCCCAACCATTTTCCGAACAAGGGAAAGAGGACTATAGAGACGAGCTGATGCAGCTGTTCCAGGCTTTCCTCCCACTCCTTTTGCGCTAGGGCGTACTCCTCGTCTGAGTCGTAGGAACGCTGAGAGGACACATCTGAATCCACCGAGTCGGTGATGGAATGAGGCATGATGATGAAGAGGTAAAGCGTAAACACGCTACCGGCAGCATCGCGGCAAAAGCCGGCCTGCCAACACTAATGATTGCGCGCTCCACTTCATCTCTACCTCTCCCGCCATATCACACAGCGTGTCCGACATGCACTCCCACCGCAAACTGGGACTAGTGGGTCGGCCACTGCTCTATGCAATATCTGTCTTCGCCAGTCTCGGCGTCTTCCTGGTGCGTTGCGTGCTATTTCCGTCGGTCGTCAGACCTCTGGCTCACCGGCATGTAGTTCGGATATGATCAAGGGTAATGAGGAGTCTCGTTCTGGCCTTCCATTTGCTCATTCCATTGCTAGAGTCATGAGTGGTATTATTACCGGGCCCTACTTCATCAAATATTTCAACGAGCCTACTGCTATCGAACTGGGGATGATGGTCTCGGTGCTGGAGATCGGCGCTCTTTTCTTCTCTCTCGCCGCTGGTAGGGTCGGAGACATTTTCGGCAGGAAAGGGACACTGTTCATTGGGGCCGTCATTTTCACGGTTGGCGGGGCCATCCAAACCTTCACGGTCGGGTTCTGGTCTATGATCGTCGGGAGAGTTGTCAGCGGATGTGGTGTCGGGCTCCTGTCGACTATCGTTCCTATCTACCAGAGCGAAATATCCCCACCCAACCATGTGCGCCGTTCCATTCGGGCAGTCCTCCGTTGCTGAATAGCCATGAACAGCGCGGCGCGTTAGCGTGCATGGAGTTCACGGGCAACATCTTCGGTTACGCTTTCTCCGTTGTAAGTCTAGTGCCAATGATGCATTTTGGTACTCAAATACAGCCAGTGGACGGATTACTTTTGTTCGTTTATCGAATCTGATCTCTCGTGGCGCATCCCGCTTTTCATTCAATGCGTCATCGGTGCCATTCTCGCCATCGGGTCACTGGTGATGCCTGAAAGTCCTCGTTGGCTCATTGATGTCGACAAGGATGAAGAAGGCATGGGTGTGATTGCGGACCTCCATGGCGGCGATCCAGACAACGAGCTAGCGGTCGCCGAATTCCAAGAAATCAAGGAGAAAGTATTAGAAGAAGTGGGTATTTGCTACCCTCTTCGTCATTTTCTTTTGACTGTCTCAGCGCGATTCGGGAGAAGCACGATCCTACATGCAAATGTGGAAGCGTTATAAGCGACGAGTATTACTCGCGATGTCTTCTCAAGCGTTCGCCCAGCTCGTCAGTCCTTCTATTTGCATGATCACTTGTTGGTGCTTAAATCCCACTTAAGAACGGAATTAACGGTATGTTGCAACATCTGTCTGTTCATATTGAATTCGATCAATTGCCAGTAATCTCCTACTATGCTCGTCAGTCATGCTTTCTCCAGTGCCTAATGACTTGTTACTGATTGAACTCTAGCTCGAGTATTTGAAGGTATGGTCACATTTTTTCCTTCGTTCCTTTTTCAATTGTCATTGCAGAGGCCGGTTGGGTTGGCCGTGACGCCATTCTCATGACTGGCATCAACTCGATCATCTACATTCTAAGCACACTACCGCCGTACGCTCTATTTTCTGTTCGTATTCGGCGCCTGATCCATCAAACAGTTGGTATCTTGTGGATCGCTGGGGTCGTCGTCTCATTCTCATGTCTGGCGCCGTCATCGTACGTCCTCTCTCCCTCTAGATCCATGTTTGCGTCTGACATCATTCAGATGGCCATTGCCCTTGTTGCAACTGGTTATTGGCTATACATCGATGTCCCCTTTACACCTCAGGCTGTTGTCGCTTGTGTGATTATCTTCAATGCTGCCTTTGGCTACAGGTAGAGATTTCTTATTTTTCCTCGTCCCTCTTCCTCACCCGTTTCCCAGCTGGGGACCTTTGCCTTGGTTGTATCCCCCCGAGGTGCGTTCAGTCCGAAATTAAAGATGTTTCTCTAATTTTCCTCAGATCATGCCTCTCACCATTCGTGCCAAAGGTGTCTCATTGTCTACGGGTGCGTGCTCTGCTTCATTTCCGGCCTTCTTTCTTATGATGTCGCAGCGACTAATTGGTAACCTTCATGTCATGTTCTGGAGGATATCATTGACATCTGTTAGGGCCTTCAATTTCTGGGTTGGTGCGACTACACCAATTTTCCAGGAGCTGATAGAGTGGCGACTCTACCCGATGCACGGTTTTTTCTGTGTTTGCAGCTTCGTTCTCGGTGAGTGACGGCCCCTCATCATCGGATTTGGCGGAAACTGATTTCGGACAGTTTATTTCCGTAAGTTCTACAAAGCAACCCGTCGGAGGTATTGATTGTGCGCAGTTTATCCGGAAACGAAGGGGGTTCCGTTGGAAGAGATGGACGCTGTCTTTGGCGAGGGTGAGTTACTCAGCACAAGTCTTTCTCGCTGGTGCTAAGATCCCCACAGAAGACCGATTAGATAGTGAATCAGAGAGGGCGTCGATCATGGAGTCGGAGAGAGTAGATTCAGAGCGAGCCGCGCTGATAGCCTCGCATCGCTCTCCGAGACAAGGCTGGTTTGGCTGGCTCAAGCGCGAGAGCTCGGGACC